ACCACCACTACTGGAACGTCAGCTATGGCTGGAAGCAGAGGGACAAGAGAAGAAGCAGACAAGCTCCTCTGTTAAAATACAGCTTGCCACCTAACATGGAGAGCCTCCACCACCAACCAGACTTTCTGAGCTCTGCTCAGACAGATTTCTCAAAACACCAACTCTTGAACCACTTCTGTGATTTGGAGACAGCTATTAGTTTCCATTAAGATGTTTGTGTGAAAGCACAGTTTCTAAATTCCTTCTGTACAATGCTTGATCCCCCCTCTTTTTGACACACACAAAATGCCATTTTATTATTTATACAGATCACTTTGTTTTCCTCAGCACAAAATTTCAATTCCAATTCATTAATGTCAAAGCATAAAAGAAACAACATAAAGCAACAAAAGTTTGCCAAAACCAGAAGATAAGAGCTGATAATTAAGGAAGTCCCATTATTTCTTGGCAAAGGAGCCTGTGTTTTCAGAGACACATTCTTAAAGGGCCTCCCATTAGTGTAGCTGCATAATTTGCATGAATACTATTTGCACAAACAAATAAAGGTTTTCAATATGCATAAAGGGAGGCTTTAATGTTCCTGTAATTTCTGTACAATACCCATCCCATGCCCCTTCTCCCTGGCACAGCCCAGCCTGGTGACAGGTTCACAGCAGGGCCACTCCGGCAAACCTTGGGGTGGGGGGTGGGGCACAAAATTTTTTTGTGACTCCATCAAGACCTGGGCTTTTGTTAGCATCTACCTACCACCCCCCAAATCTCATTTCATATCACTCTGCAGGCAAAAGGCATTGTGCTGATCTGAAACTGCACATAAATCCTCCACTTGAGAAGAAACACTGTGTTGCTTTCTTCCCAGGATCATCCCTGCCTCCTGCACTGGGAGTCCTTCACAGCACCATCGCTGCTCACGGGGCAAGTCCACCCCAAAGAGACTTTTGCATCTCGCTTGTGTTTCCTCACATTGGTAGGCCAGCCGCTGCCGGGCACGCAGGGCTGATGGTAAGTCTCTCTTGGATTTTATGGTTCCTCTGTATCCTTCCATTCAGCTGGCTCCAAGCTCTGTTCAGCAAGACCAGATATCTATTCTAGGCTACAGACATGCACCAAAATGTGAATGTGGCAGTATGCAGAAAGAGGCAAGTTAGTTGGATCAAACCTGAAACAGGTTGACCAGTTTTGTGGCTCCTGGTACTTGGATTCTCTATAACCACCTCTACAGCACAGCTTGGCTTCGGTTCGGTTGATGATCCTAGGATGTCAGAGAGAAATTAAAGACCTCTCTTCTTCTGGAGCCTGATGGCACTACCTACTGGATCATAAAAACATAGAATCATAGAATCATTTAGGTTGGAAAAGACCCTTAAGATCATCGAGTCCAGCCATTAACCTAACACTACCAAGTCCGCCACTGAACCATGTCCCTAAACACCGTGTCTACACATCTTTTAAACACCTCCAGGGATTCCAGTTCTTATCCACGGTGAAGGTCTGTGGTGGATGGTTATTACGTCATTCATGGAGATTTGATCAAAGATGGTGTTATTAAAATAACAAATCATCAATAGAGGAAAGATGTTTTACTGGTAGAGATCTCTGGGAAAATACTGTTTGAAGAGAAAGTGGTTTATTCTGGCAAAGCCTCAGAAGGTCAGGATTATACCTCGTGTGAGGACTATCAACAATCCACACATAGAGCCAATAACCGATACAGATTTTTTGGACATACAAAAAATTTGTATTTCTTATTGGAAAAGATTTGTAGACAAAATTTCATCAGATACTTTCTACAGAAAGTGTGTGGGTGTGAGCACATTTTCCATTACAGTATGATTTATAATGGCAAATCTTCCATTATGACTATTGCTGAAGGAAAACTAAATTTATTTCATGGCAAGATTTGGTCCGAGTCCTAGATCCTCTTCACATTTTAGCAGTATTGCTAGAGCAGCAAAAGTCTCCAAGGGTCACACAGCCTCAAAATTCTTCCAGGCCCGTGAGAGTCATAACCACCGCATCCCCAAGTAGTTAGAATAGAGAGCTTGTCAGAAACCAGCTCCTGGTTTGCACAAGGCTACTTAACAACTGTCTAGCTGAGACCAAGCCATCATATCACCTAATACTTTCAAGAACCAGACACTGCGGTCTGGGACTCTGGCAAGGGGGAGGAAGAAGGGTGGTACCTCTTCGCTTGGGAAAGGTTCATACGGGGAGAGCAACAGGTTCTTCCATAGTTTTGTCAATTATGAACCCAACAGAACCAGAAGCTGAGGTTTATCCTTCGCATAGCAGGGCTAACTCTGTGCTGCTACACTGGATCTGCTTTGATGCAAACTTGTCCTTTGAAGGTACTATCTCCTGGTAGAACTTCTTTTTTGTTAACTCAGCTCTCCCCACTCTTAATTCAGGGCTGTGCCTTCACGGCTGTTTTAAGTTCTCTGATTGCAACTGGTGCCCACCTCATGGTGTCTTTGGTGGGATGGCAAAATTGATGCTGCTACTACTCCGGTGGAGATGAACTGCGTGGTATCAGAAGTAACTCGCTTGATGTGGTAGAAGAGTGCAGCAGATCAAAACACTGTTTACACTGGGATATCGCTATAAAGAGGCACAGGATGGTCACTAAGTGTGCAACCCAGAAGCTGGAACATGGGGCAGCTCCATAATTTGCCTTAAGAAATGTGTTTATGGCAGGCAGAAAGGGGGGTTGTTGCAGGGAGTTCCTAACTCAGCAAACTCGGCTCAATCGGGAGGTATTTTTGGGCAGCTCAGCTTTCTCTCAGCGATGTGAGGGTACAGGCGCTAGCCCTCTCTGCCTGGCATTATGGTGACATGGTGTGTTAATGATGTCAGTAAGCATTTGCACTTACACAGGTAACACCATCTAATGAGACCTTCCACCAGAAATGCTGCTGCCGTCGGATGTCCAGCTGCTTAATGTCTTCCCTTAGGAAGAGAGTGCAGGCAGTCATGTTAAATTCCCACCCCTGAGCTGTAAGAGAAAATCCTGTTCATCCACCCAAGATCTAAGGTTTGGATTAATCTATGACAAAAACTCTTTCCTGTTCATTTCCTGTTGAGCAGCAGCCTAAATACCCTGACCCAAAAGCAGCAAAGAATGAAAATGATTACTTCCCCTATTACATGGGGAAATACAAAGAGGACAAAAGGTGAACTTCACCCCTGTGCTGAAGGTCAGGAGAAGACCCGCGTAAGCAAACTGTCTCTGAGTCAGAATGATTCAGTCAACAAGGTAAACAGCAAATTCCTCAGAGGGGGAAAAAAAAGCAAAAGCTAATTTGTTTCCTGATTAACTAAGTTATCCAGTTAACTACATCAGAGGTAGTCACGCATTCTGTGCTTTCAGTACTCCTTCCTACCCTACCGCCACAGAAAATTGCTGCAGACTCAGTCTACAGCTGATGAGATTACTGATGCGTGAGTTCATGCACTGATTATGAAACTAGAATTCAAGCACTCCTCCTCTCTAACTTCTATGCTGATATCTATGACCCTGGGAAATTCTTCTGGTTTTTGATAACTTTATAATAACAGGGCTGGAGTATGTGCTCATCTGTCAGAGGAACAGAATGTATTAAAAGTTGAATGTAAATGCTCCTGTATTTCTTGGTACACAAAAAGTTTTCCCAACATGAGTAGGAGACACTGTTATCAAAACTGGTTCAATATGTAAAAATAAGAAGTACTGTTTGCAGATAACACACCAAACCTGTTACATTGCCATTCACAGATATACATATTTATCCTTGGCAATTATCAGAATAGTGCAAAAATTACTCCCACAGTATGATTTTATCCAAGACACTCACTCTAAGCTCATTGTGTTCTGCCACACTGTACATACTATCCCCTGAAAGCAGCTATTATTTACTCCAAGTGGCATGAAAAATTTTGCTATATATACTATTTCCCATTGTGTTCATGCTTTTCCTATACAAGCTCAACACAGACTTCCTTACAGATATCTTGTAACTTAGTTACTCTTTCAGCTGACCCATAGTGTGTCTTGCTATCAGAAAAACTATTAGCATAATTTTTATATTGTCTCTGCTGCCCATCCAATACACCCTAAAAGAAAACCACACTCATTTCTGATGATCATGGAAACAAGTATGAGTGCACTTTTGATACACGCTATTTAAAAAGAATTACAGTTCCAACTCTCATTCACTCCTATCCATCCATAAAGGTACCACAACCACTGTGCATGAGGACAGTCTGATCTAGAGAAGATAGGTTTTTGAGTCAACAGCATTAAACATTCAGATGTAAGCCGGTGATGATGGCTTTGTTTTCAACACTAGGGCAGTAGACTGACCTTTGGAAGGTAAAGTGCACCAAAAAATTAACAGTTCTGTTACAGAAAGGTTAGCCCCTGAATGTATGTTTTCCACATTCAGCATCCAATACATTGAAGATGAAAGGAATACGCTGTATGCAGGAACATATATGCGCATTGTGGCATTTGATGACTTTACACAGAGTAGCAGAAGACAGTGTACATTTGAGAAATTAGTAAATAGTACAAACATTGGTTCAACCCATTTGCCTGTCAAACGTTAAGCGTCACAAATTACAGCTATAGCAGGACCGACGTTTCATGAGTGTGAACAGGCTGACGCTCTCTACAGTCAAGAAAAGCTCCGGCAACTTCTTTGCCTGACAGTCAAATGAGACCGAGTAGAGCACTCGCATATTGGCAAGGACATCGCTTATGCATCTTATAAACTCTGGGGTTTTCTATCCATACGTGTGGAGTAACAAAAACGTACTGGTCCGCAATTTTATTCTTAAATGCGAATCGGTGTCGCCACACTTTCACTGCCTGCAAGGCCCGCAGGTAATATCCGAAGAGTTTGTCCGAGGTCTCCCGTTATGTGCCAAAGCCGTCGTACAAGTTCAGCACTGCCACCCCGTGGAGATCTACCTGCATAGAGAGAGACGGAAACACCGACACGCTAACCGCTGCTGAGTTGAACATGGCCCTCAAAGCTGGTAAATCCCGAGGTCAAAGGCACGCAACACCCGGCTGGGTGGGACACGCACAGCATCGCTCCGACGTGGGGCGTCCGTCCCGGGCCGGGAGGGCAGCTGCCGCTCTGCCCGTCCGACTTTCAAGGCAAAATAAGCTTGCTGCTGGCCTGAGGGGGCGAAACCGGCCTCGTGGGGCCTGCGGGACTGACAGGTGGCGAGGAGGTCGCAAGCCGGGAGGGAGGGAAAGGCCTACAGCCTTGAGGTGCGCAGTAAACCGGTCCCCCGCCGCTGTGGCGGCCCCAAGCGCCCGGCGGCGGGGGCACCACCCCCCCCCCGC